CTGACCTCCCCTGACTTCTGCTGACCTCCCCTGACTTCTGCTGACCTCCCCTGACTTCTGCTGACCTCCCCTGACTTCTGCTGACCTCCCCTGACTTCTGCTGACCTCCCCTGACTTCTGCTGACCTCCCCTGACCTCATTGTCTTTCCATACACAGAACTTCAACATTTACAAGCGGATCTTTGTGGAGATGGTGAATGCCGAGGGCATGAACTGCACGGAGGTCTACCACACCTGGGCCAGCCTGCGGGACCTCCTCTACTCCTTGGTGAGCGCTCCCATGTACCTCATCGCTGTATTCTGTCTTTGTGTAGCCACGGCGATATCTCTGGATGGAGCTACAGAGGAATGGAGCCATTGGGTCACGGTTCAGTAAGCGGGAGGAGCATGGACCTCAGACTGGGGGGAGGAGCATGGACCTCAGACTGGGGAGAGGAGGACCATGGACCTCAGACTGGGGGGAGGAGGACCATGGACCTCAGACTGGGGGGAGGAGGACCATGGACCTCAGACTGGGGGGAGGAGGACCATGGACCTCAGACTGGGGGGAGGAGGACCATGGACCTCAGACTGGGGGGAGGAGGACCATGGACCTCAGACTGGGGGGAGGAGGACCATGGACCTCAGACTGGGGGGAGGAGGACCATGGACCTCAGACTGGGGGGAGGAGGACCATGGACCTCAGACTGGGGGGAGGAGGACCATGGACCTCAGACTGGGGGGAGGAGGACCATGGACCTCAGACTGGGGGGAGGAGGACCATGGACCTCAGACTGGGGGGAGGAGGACCATGGACCTCAGACTGGGGGGAGGAGGACCATGGACCTCAGACTGGGGGGAGGAGGACCATGGACCTCAGACTGGGGGGAGGAGGACCATGGACCTCAGACTGGGGGGAGGAGGACCATGGACCTCAGACTGGGGGGAGGAGGACCATGGACCTCAGACTGGGGGGAGGAGGACCATGGACCTCAGACTGGGGGGAGGAGGACCATGGACCTCAGACTGGGGGGAGGAGGACCATGGACCTCAGACTGGGGGGAGGAGGACCATGGACCTCAGACTGGGGGGAGGAGGACCATGGACCTCAGACTGGGGGGAGGAGGACCATGGACCTCAGACTGGGGGGAGGAGGACCATGGACCTCAGACTGGGGGGAGGAGGACCATGGACCTCAGACTGGGGGGAGGAGGACCATGGACCTCAGACTGGGGGGAGGAGGACCATGGACCTCAGACTGGGGGGAGGAGGACCATGGACCTCAGACTGGGGGGAGGAGGACCATGGACCTCAGACTGGGGGGAGGAGGACCATGGACCTCAGACTGGGGGGAGGAGGACCATGGACCTCAGACTGGGGGGAGGAGGACCATGGACCTCAGACTGGGGGGAGGAGGACCATGGACCTCAGACTGGGGGGAGGAGGACCATGGACCTCAGACTGGGGGGAGGAGGACCATGGACCTCAGACTGGGGGGAGGAGGACCATGGACCTCAGACTGGGGGGAGGAGGACCATGGACCTCAGACTGGGGGGTACCTGAGACTGGGGGGGGGGGGTATCTGGGGGTGATAATGGGGCTTATACTTTGTTTCGGCAGTGTGAGAATCTGGTGAAATCCAGTGAGGTGAATTCTCCGGCACACCGAGAGTTTGAGCTGATGATGCTGATCGCTCATTATTACGCAACGCGATCGGCAGCACAGGGAGTACAGCCGCTGGTGAGTCCTCTTATCCCATCCCCTGTCCTCCCACCTCACCCCCTGTCCTCCCACCTTTACAGTTTACATTAATTTTTGAGCCAGAGTGTCTGTCAGTCCCACCGACATGACATTCCAGATAAAACAGCTGGAACAGACAATTGTCATTTTATGTCTATGGACAATTTTACTGAATAACCATAGCACCTAAGAGGTAACTTTCTTTTGTTGTGGGTTAGATGAACAATAGCAAGACTTTCAAGAGAGGGGATTAAAGAAAACAAATCCTAAGTGTATTGATCTGTTCTTCTCCAGCCAATTAATTCAAATGAAGTTAACACAACTTGGACAAAAGACAAGTGGAATATTAAAGTCTATTTGGTGACAGAGAGAGAATTTCAAAAATATTTTTTATCAGACCAGATCTTTTAGTATTGTCTAAATGTTTTGTTGCTGTAGTTTTACTCCGTGGCCAATTTTTTATTAGGATTTCCCATTTTATATGTGTTTTACAATGTAACATTGCGTTTAACCTGATTTCTTTACTCCGTGTATTTTCCTTTATCTGTAGGTAGAATATATATTCACAGATAAGACTGGAACGCTGACAGAGAACAACATGGAATTTATTGGCCCTCTCCTCGTCTGTCGCCCCGTCTCTGTCTCTCTCTGCTGACTTCGCTGACCTTGTCTCTCTTACAGGACGTTGTGGCCGCCCGGCTCTGCATCTCCCTCCTGCGTCACACGGACCTTCTCCCTGCAGACAAAGCTTTCTATGAGGCCGGAATGGCTGCCAAGGTAGATCAGACTGAGGTGGTGGTGGGGAGAGGAGGTGGGTGGAGGGTTGGTGGGGGGGACACAAATATT